ACGAATTGCAAAACAATGCTCAACGGATTCAGCATTCTGCAACAAAAGTGTCCGAATAGCAGGAGAGAGAGAGAGAGAAAAAAAATATTCCCATTAATCAGGCTCGTCAGATTGAATGCAAAGTAAAGTACGTGGACAGGAGGACACTTTGCTAGAAATGATAATTGGGTGATGGATGATGAGGCTGCCGAGGGAGGTGGCAGCTGAAGGAAGGCAAACACACCGAGCGAAATGACCACCACGCAGCGAGGGTGACCAGATCAGCTCACGTGCAGGAGGGATGTGGATTGGGGTGCTGCAGCATGATAAGGGATGGCATAGGTGTACGGAGGCCTTCATCCAGCAGTTGATAGAGCAGAGCTGCTGACGTTTGTATAGCAATGTAATGTGTAGCAGTGGAAATGGCATCATCATTGTGCACGGACTTCTCTATATGCTTTTCGTTAACCGTAACATTGTATTTTACTTTTATACAATTCTGTTGCTTTGTCCAGACAATCAATCGTTATAAGGCCACGCTTTCTATTAAGGCACAGTGATGTTTGCCTATCACCCTTTCATTCATAAGAGCATCCTGCATTTAAATGCCATCAGTTCAGCACTTTAGCTGCACAATGTCTCCTGAATGGTAAAGGAGGCGGGAGATTGCAAACATAGGCATTGTCAATATTGGCCATATAGTAAAATACCTTTTTTTGTAGATCCATCTCGAGCAGGATATTGGAGAATGGTGACAAATCAGTTGACAATTCAGCGAGCAATTTTAGCACGCTTGACTCTCTAGTTTCAGAATAGTGGGTGAACAAAACCACATTGATGGCCCCATTGTTACGCTTTGATCAATGAGGAAATCTAGTTTAACAATAATATCGATACACGCACGATATATTGATCCACTTAAATATTAGTTATGCTAATCATTGTTGTTGTTATATATATATAATCGACAGGAGCCATGATATATCCACTGCTGGAGAAAATACTTCCAAAGTCTTTGATCATGTCTTAGGGTCTATCCCAGTGTTCTTCATCGCAAGGCCCGTGGGCCACTGACGGCCCCTGATGACCTTTAGTGTGGCTCCTGACAATACACAACACGTGACAGCATCCGCCCCCCCCGCCCCCCACAATCATAGTGCTGCTGTCAAACCCCATTGGTGTCAAGCGTGTCGAGGCCCTCACACACTGATGATGATTTATCGGACGAAAGTGCCTCCCCTTCCCCCCCATCTCTTAAAACGTGTGAACAACACTGCTCTAGGGCCTGCACATGAGTTGACCTCATCACTTCCTTTAATCGTGGACATTCTCTTGGAGGTGCCGTTTTCTTCTTCTTCTTTGGCCGCAACTCCGTTTTCATATTCTTAGGTTTTTTTCGGTAAAGTCACGTAGGTGAAATATTACTTTTATTAATTTAATTTTTCACCTACGTGACTTTACCGAAAAAAACCTAAGAATATGAATCCTTGCGGTCACGAAAGCTTCAAATATAGAATTAATACGCAACTCCGTTGTTGATGCGACGTGTGTCGGTGTTATTCCAAGTGTGCACATCTCCACGCTTCCTTTGTGCACCCTTGAACCTTTGTTACATTCTCTCGTTTTCAACGGAACAACATCACGTTGCCAATGTCACGCGTCTGCAACATGAGTAATATTGTTAGTGCACTATATAGAGTAGCGTATTGAGTCGTAATTTTGTTTGAACGAACGGCATGTTTGTTTCCCGTTTACCTTGAGCGGTTTTTGGATAATGGAGCCCTGTCTCCCTCCCAGCACAATCAGACACACGGTTGGAAAGTTGTGCGCATCGTTACACGTTCGTTCGCCTTTGTCTGCAGTCGGATGCTGTTTCCAAAAAACAAAACCCGTCGGATGCATCGCTATGCTTGTTACCTTGGCTTTTTCTTAGAAATTAAGTGGGATATGAATTCAAACGCAAACAATTCCTTATGGTGTGGGAGGGCTTTTACTCGGTGAATATGCTTACATGAAATGTGGTGAGGCATTCCCTACCAAGGATCCACTTTGATGTTAGTAACCAAACCATTTGAGGCATGTTCTTATGCAGGCCATTATGTGAAATGATGTACCTATATTTTCCAACCATTTGAATAATTACCACTCGACTTATATTTTACCTAAATATTGCCAGGGACGTATTTCATTGCTCTTGTAGTTAGTTTGACCTTCACAAAGATCTGAAAGTGTTTATACACATATATATTTTTTACGTTTATTCATTTACATGTATGCATGTGTGCTTTTGCGTGTATGTGTTGTGTTATGGATATTAAGCACTACATGCATTAACCTGCGTTAACAGGGACATCACTGCGCTCAATTTAGACGATGGCAAAGGTCTGTTCAGGTAATTTAAATGCATGATGTTTCAGCCACTTGTCACTTCACTGCATTTGCCATGCCAGGCATACGGATTATAAAAAAAAAAACTATCCGAGATTAACCTATCACAATATTAATTAAGGTGTCAGAAGCGTGTGGATGTTGATCGTCAGTGATTTCTACCCATATTCAATCTATGTCGTATGTTACTATATGTATGTACGTTGGACTTATTCGCACTGTGCGTAGCCCACCGTGCTAATTGGAGGTGCTACTCGGAGCACAACAAACTAAACACAAAAGGCAGCTCTAAAATAAATGAGTTTTCAATCGATATTTAAACGTGGCATTGCAATAGGAGCCTTAAATATGCTCCCTACGATGGCTCCAAATTAACACCTATGCCTTCGAGTCTCAACGCAGGCAGCCCTGTGGCATGACCTTGTCTAAAGGGGGCGTAAACACTCAAACATGACACGGTCAATGTTAAATGAACTTCACACAAATGTTCAACAGATTTGCTTGTGCCTGTCATGCATCCTGCCCGAGCTCTCACCTCGTGTATCGGAGGAAAGGCCGCGACGACAATCGATGAATTGCCACCGGTGGTAAATATTTGTACCAACATTTTGTGATGCCGCACGGGGCCGATGGCTAGTCGGTGTCTTGAAACATCGCCCCACCACCTTCCTAAGCGCACCGTGATTGGAGCGCCAGGAATCAATGCATGCAATGCATATGTCGTGCCTTCTATGAAACATGTGTGCAGCATGGTGTGTGTGTGTGTGTGTGCGAAACACAACGACGGTTAGTCAATGCAGTTTGCGATGCGCGCAATATTTCCGAGATGCGGAGCCGAGCTTAGTGTTACTTGAAAGCCAGGCGAAATATGTGGAGGGGGCTGCTACGTAGTTAACAACACCTGGCAGTGACCGTGCTGGTCTGAGCTCTAGAGAGGAGGTTTGAAGACCGAAGCAGGAGGATTTCTCCACAACTCTGGCAGTTCCCATGATGACGCTGGTTGTAATTACTGGCAAAACGTCGTGCTCGAATTGTTAATGTTGTGGCTCGGCTCTCCAACACACCGGGTGTGCTGTCGTAGTGTACTAATTCAGAGACACTAGTAGGAGGCGTTATCCTTCTTGTTTCTTCCGCCTCTCACAGCCATAGGGGATAACTCCATACCGGGTTGGGACAGCCAACATTCTTCCAGACCCACAGCTTGAAAAGGCAAAGATCACGATGACAGCAACAGCACGACGAGTTCCATTCCCGATGGGAGCAGCCCCGACTGTGAGCCGGAGCTCGCCTTTTATTCTCCCCAACGTGGCCAGGCTCCGCCCTAGGCCACGCCCCCTTATGGATCCCCCAGAAGGCTCCGGGCTTGGCCCACGTGTCCAACTGGTAGAACGGGCTGCTACCGCTAATTCCATTGTCTATCAATCTCTCAGCGCCACGCGCTACAGTGACTCATTCAATGTCACTACGCTAGCAACGAATTGCCATGTTTTGTTTACCTGACAAACCTTACTAATTGGATGTGTCAGGTGGTGGCGGGTTTAACGACGCATTTATAATCACACTATCTAACCCAAACACCTCTCAGGGATAATATTGGTCGCGAAAGCCGACTACGTGTTCAACCATAATCCAGGAGGTCGCGAGTCGTGCACCGAATATCTCCGCAATGAGCTGGAGTGCAGGAAACATGCCGCTCAAATCAACTCAATGCCGAGACATTTCATTCAAGTCGTATGGCGGGAAGGATCGTCTCGATCTCCACATTGCTTTTCATCAGCTTGAGGGCTATTGTAGAGGGTTAAACATCCAGGTTGAAGGTTATGCTCTAGCAGATCGCTTCACTTTAAAAGGAATGCAATCACAACATTTCCATGTGTACTGTTAAGTACATCATGATAACATTTTGTAAAGAGAGAAAAAAATGACAATAAAGGGTCTTAATGAGCAGCATTAAAGATGTTGGTGTACGGTATTGGGAAATATTTTGCTATCAAGAGAAGTGAATATTGAAAGCAGCATTTAAACTTATTTCTACATTTAGAATAGTAGGTGAATAAGTATAAACAAGAGAATACAGAAGGCAGGCATTAGGTAGTACGATTATTTATTTGCATGGTATATGATTGGGGTGTAACAATGGCACAGTAGCTTTGCACACTTACGCTATTAATCCGGTGACCTGAGTTCAATTCCTGGCCATGGCTAACATTAGCGGTGAGTGAGCTGGTCTCCCCCCTTGACATGCACTGACTAGCATAGCGAAGTAGCATTGGGATAAAGGCCTTCATCCGGCAGTGGATTTAAAAAAAGGCAAAACATTCATATGATAATTTAAAAAATATGAGGAAATGTAAAAAATTGATATTTATATAATATTCCATTCACATTTGGTATTTTCATAAAGTCATGGTCCAAAATATCTAGCATTGGTATGCACCATAATTTTATAATACGGCGCTTGAATACGACCCTCGCCAGAGTATCATTCAAAATGTGTTGATTATCAGTCAACTGTGCATACGTGTACGGTCTTATTAAATTCACGTACACACCTGCATGTTGCGACGAACAGCAGCACGTTCAAATGAATCGACGGCCGTGACCTTTGACCGCGCCTCGTCGTCGTGTTGCAGAGGAGAAGCGGCGCGCCAACCCGGAGCTGGGGAACTTCAGCGCGTTTAGCGGCGGCGCGGCGAGCACGAGCCACGCCAAGTCCCACGGGATCCTCTTCGTCTCCGAGGTTCTCAAGTCGGACACCACGACCACCAAGATGGAGATGGTGCAGGAGGAGGCGGCCGTCATTCCGCTGGGGGCCGTGACCGTCCCCTCCCCGGCCCACCGCTGCACGGCAAGAAAGTGACCCCCAATCCGCGTGCGGCTGCGCTCGTCTCTCTCTGCGTTCCTATTCGTTCGCCGGTCTTCACGCCGCTAGCTGCCGTATTTTCTCTCTCTCTCATACCCACTTTTCCACTGGCACATGTGAGCTGCGCCAGCCGCGGGGCTCTCGCAGTACTGGGTGGTTTTCCAGGAAATTTTTGGCGAGACCGAGCTAGAACCAAAACGTCGAAACGCTGGACTCGCAAGGCTATATTGAGTCTGACTTGGGACAGGGTTATTGATTTCCTTCGTGCATCGTGTCATGTGCACGCCGTGCGGCTGATGTCGTCACATGTCCGTTGTGTGTGATGCCAGTGGCACGGCTCTGATTCTGCAGTTCAAAACCAACCTGGCTGCCTTGGTGCGGGCTCTGCGTGGGCCTATTGTACGATCGAAAATAGGTTCCTTTTTCAGTTGTTGTTCTGCAACAATGTTCCCCTGGGTAGCTTATTTTTGTAATTTTCGATAATGGTTTTCAGCAGCATTTCGTTTTCGTGTAGCTAAGAGATGCACAAACTTAAGGCGCATGGGTTCAAATATAGTTTCGTTGCTTGGTTTTGTGACGGGGGCAGAACCGATGACCCAGGAATTGGTCCATCACACAGAGGACATTGGCAACCATTAACATGTCAACTGATGCTGCATCTAATTTCTGTAATTTATTTTTATTACCATAATTTTCTGATGCAAACTGTCCATTTTGCTGTGAGCATTGGCAGAGTTTGGGCGAATTTAAATGCCTTTCAGAAAAGTATAAACATTAATTACAGCTGGATATTTAATGACCACCCTAATTTATTGACAAATTGCAGTCATTAATTTGGAAGACAATGCCTTGCATAAAGTCTGCCACTGAATAGAGCACTGACTCGACACACTTTAAACGTTCACCAAACGAAAACGAAAATACCGTTTTGCTAACTGAATTGAGTTTGCAGAGCCACAGTCATTGTTGAAAACATTAGCAGATTATTCTTCAAGCTGGACAATTTAGCGTTTTGTCATAGACAAAATTGTGATATTTTTTACAAAGAATAAAAACACACATGTGGTCTATACTATGGGAACCTCATTTGCCAGTAAAAATATGATAATTGGTTCTTTACCCTTCTATCTGGCAACAAAACTGACACCTTTTTACAAGGAGTCATGTTTGCATAGACCGCAATACCTGCAGTCATAAATACAAACATAGTGTAGATGTTTGCCCCGAGCTCTCATACTCTGATGGTGCATTGTCTTTGAGTTGTGCGCCTTTTGGCGTCTTCTGGTCCAACCCATGTGAGACTAGGCTCTAAGGAAAGCTGTCTCGGGTGTGGACCAATCAACTTCAAGGACAGTGCTCATTATCAGAGTTATGTCTTTTGTTTGTATTTATGACTGCAGGTATTGCGGTCTATGCAAACATGACTCCTTGTAAAAAGGTGTCAGTTTTGTTGCCAGATAGATGGGTAAAGAACCAATTATCATGTGGTCTATATTTTTATTTTGTACTCCCGTAACATTTGGCGGCACAACATTTTTTCGTACGATAATGATGACAGTAAATCCAGAATAATAACCCAAAGCAATTATCTCAGTTCACATTGAAATTATTGCACGCAGTCGTGAACATGGAATAAGCACACAAGTGCCCTGTTCGAGCAAAGTTGAACAGCTCATTTATATGCTACGGTTTATCCCATATTGAAGGCATTCGGGAGTGATTTTCTGTAAGATATTTCGCAACCTTGTAACCTTGCGAGCTTCTGCGGGCTTTATTTTATCCGACGGTTAGGGTGCTGAGGGGGGAAATGCCCATACATTTCAATTAACTTATGCACTGTGTGTGTGAAGGGACACCTTTTAAAAAAATACCCATACAAATGTACCAATCTTTGAACTGTACTCAAACCCCATATGCTGCAGTGTCTAGAGCAGTGGTTCTTAACCTTCACTGCAGCCTTGCACCCCTTTGGATATCCATCGTTGAAAATGTTATAACGCTAATAAATACATGGGTTTGATTAACAAAGTAGTTGTACTATGTGTACTTATGTGGCCGTGCTTAATTTGTTTTTCGAAAATCTGCCACGTCTCGCACCCCCAGAAGGGGCATTTGGCACACCCAGGGGGTGTGGGTACCCCCCTCCAGGTTAAGGACCACTGGTCGAGAGAGACCCTTTGTAGATTGTTTTTTTTTAAGAGCACTCTGTATTCTCTGTGTTTAGAAACACAAACATGCAAACAACTATCTGTTGGTGATCGACACAAACAATCTATGTCATTCCATTTGTGGGCAAAAATGTGGCTTGGACCATTTGATTAATAATAATTTGGATTTTCCAAGTGGTCTGTGTGTTGGAAAGTTTTGGCCTAATTAATGGCGTGTTGTATTTGCTAAATATTCTAGCATTACAAGTAGTGTACCAATTTAAAAACAGTTCGTCGTGTGTTTGCTCAGTATGTCAATATTTTATTGGATAAATGTTTGCAATTAATTAGTGGATAATTTTTAAATATTCCAGTGACAAATTGTCATTAATGTTAATCCAATCTTGCACTTAAAACGTATTAGTTATATGATAAAGGACACACTGGGCTTTATATTTTTTAAAACTAAATTATGTTTTCTCTCCCTTAACGCTCTGTAATATCCCCTTTACACCTAAAGTTGTGCTTTGCAGTATTTTTACCTGTAGATACAATAATTGTATTTCTTCTGGAAAAGGAAATAAAACGTTTCTGTGGAGTTGTGAACGTGTCAAGGTGATATTTGTTACAAATACAAAAAAATGTTCACTATTTCTATTTTTAGTTGAACAAGAACATAACAATATAGGATATCTCAATACAGAATCAAGATACAATATACACTACAAATATTGCTGCAAAACTGGATATTCATTGGAGTTCATATTCTTAGGTTATTTTGGTAAAGTCAGCGTAGGTAAAAAATTAAAATGAATAAAAGTAAAATAAAATAAAAACCACGACTTTTATTAATTTTAATTTTTTACCTACGTGACTTTACCGAAATAACCTGAGAATATGAATCCTTGCAGTCACGAAAGCTTCAAATCTAGAATTGTTGTTTTGACCCATACTATACTTCACCGTAGTGCTCAGTTTAGGTTTGTAAAGAGAGTGGCCAGGACTGGCTCGGATATCACTCATCACTGATGTGAGCCATGGCTGGGAATCAAACTCAGGTCGCCAGGTTCAAAGTGTGGTGCACTAACCAATGGGCAACAGCCTCACGCCTAATAATAATAAAAACAAGTTATTACAGTATATGCATTCCGTTATAGAACGAAAATGCTCATCTTATACACACTGTAGGCTTTCAAAACATATTCTGATTCATAATGTATCTCATTTAAGTGAGACCATTACCCCTCAACCACCCAACAGGACCAATCAAATCATGCAGTCACGTGGTCAAATATGTAAAGACATTTTTTTTAACAAAACATGAATATTAAAGGAAAGCACATTTTTTTACGATTTGACTATCACAAAATTATAAATGTAAACGTGAATACGTCAAAGTGGAATGCTGTATGATGATGAATTGGTTGCAGCAAATGAGTGATCATGTGTGGCTTTGAGCTACCTTCAGGATCCATAGATAAGTACTGATGAAATTCCTCGCCCCCCCCCCCCCCCTGGTTCTTATCATCGTAAAGCACACGTCCATTAAGGAATAGCATTCCACCTCTGAGATAGTTTTTTTTGTATTTGCTATATATTCATAATCAACGATTTTTGGGTTTAGATCGCGTTTAGTACTCAAATTGTAAATGTTGTTGCTTCAACACACCGGTGGGCTAAAGCAGTGAACTATTTGTCTTTGTCAACGTGACACATTTTTACTGATTGGCCGTGTCGGGCGGTGGAGGGTTACGACACATTTATAAATAACGCGATCTAAACCCAAAAATCGTTGATTATGAATAACATTGGTCGCGAAAGCCTACGTGTTAAATTGCTATATATTATTAACGTTTATAGGACCGAGCAGTGGAGCTGAGCTTCAACATTTTTCTCGGGGTGCTGATTAAATAGGAGGACATGAGCATCCATCGCCAAGGGAGGAAGGCCGCCGAATAACCAAATGCCCCTTCATCATACCTCTTGTCATATAACACGTGATAGTACAAATGCAAGATTATCATCATAATCAGCCATGATCAATTACTTCCACGTGAAGGACTCCCCAAGCCATCACCGTCTGCCCTGCGATGTTTGAATCCACCAAGCACCTAGAAACGAGCCGATGTCATCATTCCATGTCCGTGGCGGATGTAACCCTTGGACACAGCTCCCTGCTTTGGCTTCCACTCCGTCGTTATCCTTGTCCACCAGACGTCATCCCTTCCGGCGACATGGCCTGCCCAAGCCTCCTTTTTTTTCTCGACAGTCAATACGTTATATTTTGATTTAAAGCTTTCGTGACTGCTGGGATTCATATTCTTGGTTCTTTCGGTAAAGTCACGTAGAAGGGAAATAATAAAATAATACAAATATAAAACAATAAACATTCTCACGACGTTTCGACTGCAACACAAGCAATCATCGTCAGGTGTGAAATCCACTGCAAGAAAATTTGAAAAAAGTGGCGGTTTTTTGTGTTGCAGTCGAAACGTCGTGAGAATATTTATTGTTTTATATTTTTATTATTTTATTATTTCCCTTCTACATGACTTTACCGAAAGAACCAAGAATATAGTCAATAAGTTATGTATTTAACATGTATAAGTTTTCTGATCCGTGTATTGTTCTATTCGCATTTCAGTGTAATCCCAAATAGTTCACTTTTTGCACAATTTCGAAAGACTTGTCCTTTATTCTTCATCAGTGGCATCGTTTTTCATCTGCGTGTGACAGCAATTTATTGCACCCATTGATTGAAACTTTCTTCAGATACAGTGGCATTTTGTTTTGTATTACTAAGTTCAGGTTTCCAAAAGCACTCCAGGCTATTATTCATCATTATTTTTCCAGTCTGCTTTCAGGAGCTGTTGTGTTATCCTTTCATAGTTGTATCTCTCTGATCATTATTTTCAAGTCATTTTTATTTTGCTCATGTTCATCTTGAGCCCAACTTTGCAGCCTCCTTTAAGTTCTTATATAATTTCCTATTTTTCGTTTCGTTAATTTACATTTACTGTTAAATATCTATGTCATCCAAAACATTACATAATTCATATTGTTTTCTATTCATATGTATGCCTTTTTTTCTTCAACCAATTTTTCGGAAATAAATTTCAAATGTTGCTTTCAATAACTTTGATTGAAAGCATATCCTTGCCTTTCTCCCTATTTAATATGTATTTTGGTACTTTCTTCATGAAATCTGAATGTAGCTCTTCCATATTTATTAAAGCTTTTCATTCTATAAGTTTTTTTATTTTGCCATTTTTGTCTAGCGAGTCAAATGCATTTTAATAATCTATTAGGGCTCGCCATGATGGGGTTTTTGAAATATTAATTTTTCCATTTAAAGCTTTCGTGACTGCATGGATTCATTTTCTTGGTTCGTTCGGTATAGTCAAGTAGAAGGGAAATAATAAAATAATAAAAATAAAACATAATAAAATAATTCTCACGACGTTTCGTCTGAATGACACTGTCTTCCCGACAGACCTGTTCTTCACCTGAGGACGGCTGCTTGCGTTGTGGCCGAAACGTCGTGAGAATTATTTTTTAATTTTTTATTTGTATTATTTTATTATTTCCCTTCTACGTGACTTTACCGAAAGAACCAAGAAGATACATTTTTCTCTTCCAGAATTTAATTGACTTTGATTGGTAGTATGCAACTCTGATTTCATGAATGAATGATGGTAACTAGGGTAAAAAGCAGGAGGAGAGGATACGAACCATTGCAACCTACTAATGTATGACGGGGAAAAATACAAATTTTGTTGAGCTTGAAGACAAAATTGAGAGAAATAAATGGCAACTTGTTTGGCCTCGCTTGAGGTGGGATGACAAAGGAACTCCACACTTCTTATCGTGACAGACTTTTCTTTCATAGAGGGAGGTTGAGTGTAATTCTAGAGGAATAGATATCCTTAGTCTCTCCGGGAACTATGTTTCCAGGCTACATTGGAACATGAAGGCTCTTTATCAACGACAAGTTGGACATAATTCAAACATATGCTCCGACAAACATCAAGCCATCGCGATGAAGGAGACCAAATGTACGAAGAAATTATCCAACTCCTAAATGACGGTCAAATACACGACAACATCGTAACATTTAACTTGAATGCAAAAAGTAGGCTGCATTTGTAGAGACGAACGACTGATTGGTGTTTCGCATTGGAGTGAGGGATGCGAGAGTTCACAGCAGAGGTGGGACAAAGTCATTGTTATGCAAGTCCAAGTCGAGTCTGAAGTCATCAAATTCATGACTCGAGTCTGACTCGAGTCCAAGTCACATGACTCGAGTCCACACCTCAGAGGTGGGACAAAGTCATTGTTATGCAAGTCCAAGTCGAGTCTGAAGTCATCAAATTCATGACTCGAGTCTGACTCGAGTCCAAGTCACATGACTCGAGTCCACACCTCAGAGGTGGGACAAAGTCATTGTTATGCAAGTCCAAGTCGAGTCTGAAGTCATCAAATTCATGACTCGAGTCTGACTCGAGTCCAAGTCACATGACTCGAGTCCACACCTCTGGTTCACAGGCAGCAAAGACGTGTTCTGTTATAAGGCGGGGTAAATAATGAACATCGGAAGGAGGTTTTACTGAAATGTAAGTCTATACTAAAACATGTGCTCAGAACCAATTTTAATTGCTTGCTTGTGAACGCGCTTGTTGTTGGGCCGGAGCACATCACAGACGATGTGTTGGCAAAATTGTCAGTGTTCTTTTGTTCCTTTGATTTTGAGCTATATAATATCATAACATCGAATTCCCCTCTAAATAACGTATTCCAAAAATAAATTGTTTCAAGAAAAAAAACTTGGCTTGTGTGTCTGAATAAAAGCTGATTCTTTTGGAGAACATAATTCGATATGAAGGTTCGTGTGCAATGTTCTAATAATTTACTTAACAATATCCTCTCATACATTATTTGGGTTGTAAGTAGCACAAAAACATTTTGGTATTGTATCTATTATCCACAGCCTATTCTTCCCATTCGCGATTTTTTTTTCTGCCGATGTGAAGTACAACATTTTTGTGGATAACACCGTCTATATGATCCGTGATATTCATCCTCCACATCACTACCAAGACGTTCTACTGCAGTTACAGAAATAAATACATTTCATGGAAAATGTGTATAAAAAACTAATCCTGTGCTGTGTAAGCAGCGAGTGTGTACACATAAATAGCTTAAATAAATGCCTCCTTTGGGGGAAGCGTCCAAAAAAGACAGATCCCCAAACGGATATTCTGTATAAATAAATAGAGATGAAACTGTAATGTATGGGCCCTCCTGGCTCCATCAACAAGAAAGCGTCAGATGGAATAAAGGTCCTTTGTTAATGTCATCCATCCGGTGATTTCAAGGAGAGGCACAGTTATGGATAAGCTTTTGATTTACGAATGAAAAAGTGACAAGCATCTGTAAAAGTAGCACATAATGGTGCAGCAAAGCAATTTTTCTTCACGCCACTACTGGCAAAGGCCCTCTGCTAGAGATGGAGCTCTTCAAAATATCCTTTACATGGTGTATTGGCCTACTCTTTCACACTGTTCAGACGTCTTGGGAGAGGTGGGAGT